ATTTTGTTGTATGGCGTTACTCATCTTAGTGTTTATATTGTCTTTGGTACTACTTACCATACAACATATAGATGGGACAGCTAGAACGAAAAAAAGAGTAGCCAATTATTTTCTATGCGTCAGGTCTTACATAAAGCTCTTTTTTGTTTGGATCCATAACTCGCTCGCTTGCTGAGAGAGTAAGAGAGTTAAAGAGCAATGATCGATGTGTAATAGAACGGTATCGCTGATTTTTATTTCGCTCCCACTAAAGGAAACTAATTTTCCCGTGCGGCTAGTAACGCCCTTATTCACAACTAGTTTTGAAGGTGACGTCATTGGGATCTACAGCTAAAAAGAAAGGATTTAACTAAGAAAATCATTCTTAAACGTAAAGATTAACTAGGGTGTTCTAGCCCGGAAAGCCCGGCTAGGAGATAACTTTATCCCTGCGGCGAGCAGCCATTGCAGACATTCTAGCTTATTTCTTTACATACATACACACACAAGCTCGCACGCCGCTTGATGCGCAGTTTACGCTTTATTTGTGATAATTTATTCAGTCGTTCCACACTATGGTAATCGCGTTTATTATTACCTTAGGTGTTTATTATCCGATATTTATGAACTTTTCAGTGTGTACATACCAAATCGGAAGGCTCTAGCTTTAAACAAGTATGATGTTCTTGTCGGACGTTCCTGACTAGGGGATACTCTAACCCTCTTCTGCTTACACCAAACGCTGCTCGTGCTATGAGCACGTTTGCTTTAGCAGTAATAAAAAAAAATTAAACAACTAAGGCTACCTCAATTGGACGCGAACCCGTAACCGACTGAACTACTTGCTACCGCCTCTATTTGACAGCCGATTCAAATCTTAGCTAGAGACATTAAATATGGTATTAAGACTCTCGTATAGTTTACACAGATCCAAAATACAGCACTAATAGCTGAGTCGATCTAGCCGTATGTGTGAACGTGTCGATGTCAGAAACTATAAGAGCTAATACTTAAAATTTCAAACTTATCTTGAAAAACAAAAGCGATGGTTCTTGTATTTGATAAGTTGTTCGTATGGTAATCTGACGTGGATTTAAGTAGAAATAAAGGGCCATATTTCCTGGTAAGTATAGAGGGAAGAGAATTAAAGACCACTAAAACGATAACAAGAGTGCTCTGGTCGAGAGGGTCCTACTAGCAAATAACCTGAAACTTCTCCAACCAAAACCAAAAGAAGCTCGCTTGATTATGCACCAGCAAATCATGGTGCATGCTGATATATAATTTCTAAAAAAGATTTATATATTAGCTGCCTAAAATAATGTTAAGCTAATAGTGTTGGTTTTTTGCTAGCACATGGGTTAAATTTTTTTTTCTAACCATTTTTTGATGTTCCTAGCCTGTTAACCAAAAAGGTTGGTTTTCTTTATGTGGGCGGTCATGACGCTCCCTTCGGTCGTATGCAAAAGCTTACAAAGGAAATTCGCGAGCTAGACAACAAAATTGTTGAATGCACCATGAACCAATTTGGCAATTGGGATTATATGCGCGAGCGAACGGACAAAAAGTTACCTAACAGCTTTAACACCGCCGTATGTAAGTTTTTTCATAAGTTTAATAAATTTCACAGCTATCATATAAACGTATCCTTGTAGCCGTCGTGGAGAGCATTAAGCATCCAATCACCAAGGAATATCTACTAAGTTTTATTGCGAATTTCGGATTTCGCGATGATCATACAATGATGCCGCCTCCAGCCGTACAGCGACGTTAGCAATGCCTAGCAGCTATCTCATCTCCTGCACCACATCAACCACGTAGACACTCCTGACACACACATTAGGAAATTAATAAACCATAATAAAAAGAATTACGTTTTTCAATATTAAATTCAGTTAAACTCGATGTCAGCACAACATTTAATCGAGATGCATAAAGTAGCCGATAAGATACAGTTTCGTTACTTTTTTGAAACTAGAAATGCATGTGCCATATGTGAACCTACTTTCAAAAATTTAAGTCTCTAGCTCCCGAGTTTGACGTGTTAATACAAACGGACGAGCAGGTGAGAGTACTTCGTCGACTCTGTTTTTTGCTGCAATTATTTGAAATATGGGTGATGTGGCTTCTACGAAGATAATTTCTTTTGCATCATACACCTCATCCTTGATGGCAACGGTCGAGTTTTGGAACTTAATTAGGAATGTTCCTTTTAGTTCCATTTCTTCTTTATCGATTCTCAGCTTTCCGGTATAGTCATTGAGTAGTATTGTTTTGCCGAATAGTTCATAGTGTGGTACATGTTGGCTGTTGATCGTTTTGCAATTCGGAGTTTGGATTTTCAGACGTGGGGTTATGCATGTATCGTTATTTAAGTCTATTAGATTATTCTTATTACATATGATCTTATCGTTATGAGATTTGCAAGAGTCTTTTATTGCGTATAATATTTGGACGCATAGATTTGATAGATCGTCTTTTAAAATCTTGAAGCTTGAATTTAAATACCGAAAATTTCTTTAGCTATTTCAATTATCTCATTCGTGACTCATCTCGTTAATTGTATTTTGCAATATTTTATTTATAACATCTTTTTGTTGTTGTTTTCTATGTACTCATGCATCTTAGTTACTAATATTTTGTAGTCGCCGTGGTCCGGCGAGCCGTCCAACCATTTCCAGGCCAACGCATTTATCGCTCTTGCCGCTCTTTGGGAAGGTCTTCGTCTGCGTAGATCATTTTTAATTATCCGATCTCATATTCGAGCAATGGGAATAGCTGGTGTGGGGCGTTTATTGCATGCAGGGTATCTTTAATTTTTATTGGAATTAACTGTGAGTGTGTTTAGTCTACAATTGTTGACAACCCAAGGCATGTTGGTAAGAACAACCTGTAACATAATATCAGGTTTTTATATTATTTTTGTGGTGTTTTCTACCGATTTTTTTTGTAATGGTAATATTCCTGTTTTCTGATACTATTTCTTTTCTGTATTTGGGTGTGAGTTTTGAACCTAGTCTTTTGTCTATTTTTACGTAGATAATATCTCCAATGTTATAGTTCTTTAATAGCTTCTTCTTCGTATTGTGGTAGTTAAGATCTTTTTCCTGTTTACTTATGATTTTTTCCTTATCTGCTGCCTTTCTAATTCTATTTGTTAGGGATCAATTATATTTTGATTACCAAAAAATATATCTTTTGGCTTCCCTTTTACCGTGGAGTTTACTGATTGATTATACAGTTGCACTGCTTTGAAGATTAAATCTTCGAAGTTTACGATACCCTCATCCTTTTTTATACATCGCATGATTTCTGTTAAATCTTCAGCTGCCTTTGATTTAAGTATTTTAATATGAGCTTATTTTGAAAATTTGTGAATGGTAGTGAGTGCTAAATTCTTCTGAGTTATGAATAAGTCGATATGGATTATCTGACCTGGATACGAATGTCTATCGTATATGGTTTCTTTGCATATTTCGCATGCTTTTGTAATTGCTTCTGTTTTCTTTTTGTTATGTGGCAAAAAGAATCTTCTTAAGATCTGTATCTTGTTTTCTATGGGGTTCATATGTGCTCTAGTGTGTTATTTCGTCAAAATATTGTTCTGTTCTGCTTTTGCGTAGATCGGACCTTATAAGAGCTGAAGTGTAAAGGGAATATATTTTGTATCTTGCCCATAATCGCTTCTGCGGTAAACAAACCGTTAACAAATTTTGGGTCAAGTCTTTTCTTTCAAATTTCTATTAAGTCTTTTTCTGAATAATTGCTTTTTTTTTGTTTCTATGTCTATGATAAGATGGAAAGGGTATATTAAACTCGTATGATACCTCGTCTGAGATCAATAGAAAAACTTGGTTCTTAAATACGTTGATTGGGACTTCCATAACAGGTATTAGGTTGTGCGAGGAGCTCTTGTCACTGTGCACAGTTGATGTTTTATTTATTTGTTGATGTATGGGATTTCTAGACAACGCATCTGCTATATTCCTGGTTCGAGGTAACTCTTTCGCCTCTTGAGTTTACCATTATGATTTTGGTGCTAAGAGCACAAGTCAGAGGCTGGTGTATGTCGGAGTATGCTAGTTGGACGGATCTATCCACTTTGAGTACTTGAAATATACTAACAGAGTGTTTTATTTTAGGCCTGCTGTCGAAGCATTATCGGCAGCAGCGGTCATAAACTATTGTGTTACCCTTGCTACTTATATTTCTAACATGACATTTCTTAGCGTAGGTCGCTCTTAGAACCTTAAGCGACCAAAAGTGCTCTATCTATTATTATGCAGTCGTACAAGATGGTTTGAAATATAATTTTACCGAAGGTCAAATTAAGACTCGGTGTCAAGTGTTTATGTGTGAACATTCTGCGGAGGGCCGACAAAGGTGATGGCCTGCAGATTTTTAGTTACAGGTTTTTTTCCTATTAGGTATACAATAATTATTACGACTAAATTAATACAATCATTAGATGGTACGAATCCATCTCAAAGTTCTATACTAAATAGTCTGTATCATTATAATCTGTCCATCTCTTTGTACTGGTACTGGTATTAATGTAAATAGCTGAGAAGTTTGCCTACTGAACAATGGTATTTTTGCATATGTGATGAGTTTGTTCTGTATAAATATTCCCTCTGCCTTAAGCAGTGTGTAACTCTCCTTAATTTCTGAATTTTGATGTCTACCTCCGACTCTTAATATCCCATTTTGATCTTAAAATGGGTTTAGTCCTTGTATTTTACTCTTCGTTTCAATTTCTTTTTTCTGACGTAAACAATTTATTTCTGTGATCAATTGATTTGTCTGTTCTTGCTTAAGTAACATTATATTTGCTTTTCGGAGTTCCTTAACTTTGTATTTTTGTCATCTCAATCTTTATTTATCAGCCATCAGTTTTGCATGAATAATTTTCCTACAACTGTAACTGGGGATAGCTAAGCTAATGGCTTAAATTTTTTGCAAGCGTAGATACTTGTCTTTTGTTTATGTTTTCTGAGCCCCCACAATTGACCTTAATTTTGAATTCGTATTTCAAAGGTTCCCACTGTAGTCTCAATGTTTCTTTATTCCACTTACTTCTTTGTTGTAGGGTATACAAGTAATCTTTAGACCAAAACTCTTTTTTTCATTCTATTAATCAGTTTCCATCTAATTAAGTTGTCTATTCCTCTTTTTAGATGATATTTTACTGACTTGACTCCGGCCTCCCAAATGCCTCCGAAGTGAGGACCTGCCGGTGGGATAATTTTATCCCACTGGATTTATTAATTTTCTTCAATAGTTATTACTTTATTTTCCTCAGTATTTTCTACATGTTCTTTTTTGTCGTGTGCCTGTATTCTAATAAGCGAGCACACTTTGGTAACTGTTTTTGTGGAACTTCCATCATGTAATGTTATCTTTACTACCCTGACTATATTGTCCTTTCCTCTATCATATACCACTCTTCTGTATGCTTTCTCTGCTGCATACGTGAATCCATGCAGCTGTATTTCAAGCTTTATGCTAGTCTGTAACCATCTTGGGATTCTTATTTTTTTTAATAATGTTAAGTTTTTGTCGCCTTTTTGGAAATCTTGATCTAGATTCTTTGACGCACCTACGAAGTTAGTTCCATTTTTGTTGGACTCGATGTTATTTCCTAGGTCCACATACTCTCCTAAAAAATTTCTATAACTCTCCTTAAGCTGTGTATTTCTTCTGCATTTATTTTCTGAGTGTAGGAACCGTGCCATCTTTTGTGGTCTTGATGATCCTAACTCTTTTTCATCCTTAAACCTTGCAAATTGGGCCATTTTCCGAAAAGTCCTTATTAACTTTCGGTTTTTTCTCCACGTCCTTCAATGAGCATAGAGCACTCAACCTTTGCTCTAAATACTCCATTACGTCGGACAATTTTTGAACTTCTTTTCACATGATTTTCATATGATTGCAAAGTTTCTCTATTAAAATTGCAAATAATCATGTGTGCAAAAATTACGTCAGCGTCTTCTGATAAGACCGTTTTCAATTTTATTAAATGTATTGATTCATTAATTGAATCAATAAATGCTTTAATGTGCTTTGCTGAATCACTGTTCCGTCCTGGCAACTCTATAAGCCTATTTAATTGTTCCGAAAATATTTTCCTTTTGTTTTCATAATGGGTAATTAATTCCCAAGTCGCATTGAAATTTTCTGCGCAGCCTATTAGCAAATGCGACACAATGCATCTTGCTTCTCCGTTTAATGCGGTTTTCAAATAGTTAAATTTAAGAGCTAGACTCAACTGCTTTCTTGATTGAACCAACTCTGTAAACAACTCGGCAAAGAGATCCCATTCTTTGGAAGGTGGGTACCTGCATTTTCGGGAACATTAGTAGCTCCTCTGTTCATGGCAACCCTCCATTTTTGGTTGACACTTGTCTTGAATCTGTTCTTCTACCGTGTTTTGTACGTCGAATCCTAGCGTTTTAATTTCCCTATCAAACGTAAAGTTGCTGTCCATTTTTTGTTGTGATATACCTGACGGTCGATTGCGCCTATTCGTAGCCCCAATGTCATTGACAAGGGCTTCGGTCCTGCTCTCGGCTCTTCTGCGATGATTTTCTGTAGTGCTTGTTGGTAAGCGCTACTCATTTCTCCTCGTCCAGATGCTTGGGCTCCTTCTTGTATTTCAGGCGTCACGTCTAGAAGCGCCGCTGGTGTGGGTCGTGGGAGAAGTACTTCTTGAAGAGTTTGCCCTCTGGATGGGCCTTGGTCACCTTCTAGCATTGGCTGTCGCTCTCCTTTGCTGTCTGGTCTTCTGTTCGGCTCGCTGCTCTCGTCTGCACCGCCCGATAGTTTTTTGGTTTGGCGTGCTGCTCTTGGCTGCACCGCTCGAAATTTATAAGTTCAGCGTGCTGCTCTTGGCTACACCGCTCGAAAAATTTTTTGTTCGGCATGCTGCTCTTGGCTGCACCGCTTGAAATTTTTGTGGTTCGGCGTGCCGAAATGCCGGCACGTCTCGAAATTTAGTGGTTCGGCGTGCCGGTGTCCACTTCTCGAAGGTCTTTATAAACAAGCGTGCCGAAATGCTGGCACTGCTCGAAGGACCAAATGGACGGATCTATCCACTTTGAGTACTTGTAAGATACTGATTGATGACTCGGTTCAAGTGTTCATGTGTGAACACTAGTATCACGTCTGGGGAGGCTAGTGTTCGTTTAATCTTGTCAAACGCATCTAACGCTTCATTATCCAAAGTGATTTTTATTCTAGCTGAGATGTTCTTTGAAGGTCTACCACTTTCTCCCCTGAGAAGGGTAGTAAGGGGCTTTGCTATTTTAGCGAAATCCCGTATGAACCTGCGATAATAGCTCGATAAACCCAGAAAAGATCGTAAACCCTTCATAGTTTCGGGTACAGGAAAGGCCTTGATGGCTTTCACTTTCTTAACACTGGTTTTAATGCCTTTTTTTGAAATAATGAATCCCAAGAAATCAACTTTCGTCTTAAAAAATTCGCATTTATCGATTTGAATTTTCATGTTGGCCTTACGTAAAGTTGCGCAAACCTTATCCAGGTGTTTAGCATGTTCATCCTCGGATTGACTAAAGACGATAATATCGTCAATGTAAACGTAGCATATCTTGCCTACCTGATCCGGGGGAGTTCTTTAGACAGCCTGGTGAATTCGAATTTCCCCCCATTTACGAAAGCGAAAGCCGTTTTCTCAATGTCCCTTTCTTTGAGTGGGATTTGATGGAAACCACTCTTTAAATCAATGACTGAGAATTACTTATTTTCGCCCAATGCGGGGTAAGAGTAATGTTTATAATATACTGGGGTATCTGACATAGCTATTATTATTTATTTATTTATTTATTTATTTATTATTAATATTTATTATTATGTAAGTTTCATGTCAGGGTCAGCGAATTCTTCTGAGTGGGTTTCGGTCAATTGATCGTATTATTGTTTCTGAGTTTCGGACATGTGATCTGTTTTAAAAATTCTTAGCCGCCTGTGTCTCTACTTGCTCCATGTTAATTCTGTAATTTCCACTTATTATTAGTACGTCGTTTCGTATGTCTATGCGTATTAGCGTATCGTTACCCAGAATTCCATGGAATGTTTTGAGTGTTGGTAAAAGAAAGAATTTAATAGGAACGCCTTTTAAACCAAAAAGGTTAAGACGAGTATGATGGGTAACTTTCGTTTGCTCACCAACGGAATTGGCGAAAAAGGGTTATTCGTTGAGTTTGGGGTTCTAAACTAAATCGGACTGAATATAGTTTTGATTGGATGTTGATTGTCTAGGTTGTAAGGGTGGAGCCTGCTATCTATATTTCGGAATGAATGCATTCCCATGTTCTTGATTTTCTACTAATTCACACAAATGAAGTGCGTGACTCAAGTCTCTTGGTTTTTTATAGCTAATAAGTGAGCTAAATCGCCATTAAGCCCACGTACAAAGATATCCAAGGCTTTATCCCGATAATTTTTGGTTAAAGCTCTCACAGTTTCTGGTGATTCTTTCTGAGAGCTAATTTGGTTGAGTATCAGAGACAGCTGGTGGTAGACTGCCTGGTAGAATTCATTTATGGTCTTTCGTCCTTGTGACAAAAAGAATATTTGATATTCGAGGGTGTCAGCGTAGTGCGACGTCAGGCACCTGGATATTACCCTCCAGTTCATGGGAGTGTTATACGATTCTAGTACTACATCAGCTTCTCCGACTATTTTGTTTCGTATAGCTAAAGTAACTAAGTGATATTTATAAGTGCTCTCTTGTCCTTCGTATAAGCTCATTATGCGATCTTCATTTTCCAAGAGCTAAATGCAGTTCTATCTTCAGAAAATTCCCTGATTAATCGCGTTATATCTGGGACTTTCTCTTGTTCGCTTTCAGGTCCTGGCCTTGCGATTGGTATATCGGACTACATATCTACCCTGTCTGGGTTGTCCATAGCTTGTCTTATTAGATCTCCTCCTACGAGGGTCTTTCGGATTAGACGTACTATAATATCCCTAAGTTCTGGGCTAGCAACGGGGGTGCTGGTAGTTGGTTGCCAGGCGCTCGCAGCTCTGCTACGTGGTGGCTGCCGGTGGGACGCGCTTGTCCCAAGGGAAAGGCTGTTAATAGCTTCGGACAATTCGTCTTGCATGTTGTTCCGCTTATAGCGTTTTAATACGGACCACACAAACAATTTTTTACGGACCACTTATAGGGAATTCTTCTGTAGATTAGTTTTTATGTAAGATGATTGAGCAATATAAATTTTTTCTTTATTTTATTTTCTATTGAGATTGAGATATTTAAAATAGTATAGCAAAAAATATAAAATTTGAAAAAAATGATCAGCTTAAAAGAAATAAATAATATGCTCACAATATAACTAGCATTCCGGTGAATCTCTCACGATAGTCCTTTGAAGTTAATCCTTTTTGTCCTGCAACAACAAAGGTGCAGCAGGTGACTGGGGCTCCTTAGTAACACTTTAGACGTGGCTCTCTGCGAACGGATGCTGCAAAGAGTCGGCGGTACGAACGGCGATAATATTTATTTATTTTAGTCAAACGCGGTAAAGATTATTGTTATCTGTACTAAATCGCTCCCGCGCTGTGGCTCGTTTTGAGGCACTTTTTCGAATTAATTTAATTTATTTCTACGCGGCGAAGCTCGTTTGAGGCCGACGAGTTATCCTTTTTATTATCCTGGTCCCTGCTCGGGCGCCAATTAGGGAATTTGTTCCTTGAGGTCTTTAAAAAAAATAACCGTTTATTAGTAGTGCTGCTAAAGAATTAATTTACAATGATATGTACAAATTATGTGAAAGCTAAAACTCCGCTGCTGCTGTCGCTGATGTCGTTGTTGCTTCTGTAAGCTTTGTTGTTGTCGTCGCTACCGTTGTAGTTTGGTCAAATTGTCCTTTTCCATGGTGCGCTCCCACGGATAGGCTGTTTGGAAGATTCCGCTGACGCAGCGCACGTGGCAAAGGTGCATTAGGGCCGTGATTACTTGGTTGCGTGTGCATGCATTTTTGGTCAACTTCGTCCCTAACTTATATATAATATAAACCTTATATATGTGAGAAAGAGGCTCCAGTCGGGAGTTGCCGACTAGGGGATACCCTGAACGCTCTTTTACCTACACCAAACTCAACACGAGCTACGAGTTCATTTGCTTTAGCAGCATTACAAAAATATTTCCCTTTTATTCGCACTCGAGCTCGTAGCGACCGCACTACTTGCCACCGCCTCTACTTGACAGCCTTATTTATTTTCTATAAAAAAAAACATATTAAAATAGCAGCACATACACACAGCACAGAATACAATACAATCGCAATTGCAATGCTGTTCATAGATTTCAATGAATGTGTGTATACAGACACGCTAATAATTAATAATTAATAAATCTTTAATAATTTCTGTGTTTCTAAACCAATCTTGATGAAATTCAAAATGAGGTCTGATTGTGCTATATTTATTTATTCTTAAACAGAGAACTTCATTTAAACGTTTGCTAAAATTGGTGGGTAGTTCAAATTGGTTTATTTACTTGATTTTGGAGTAGGCATGTAGGCGGGAGGTGCCAATAGCTATACAATAAAAGATACTTGATATATAAGCATATGCATATAGTATTCAAGAATCAACATGTGAAATTTGGTGACATGCTTTAAAGCCTAAGAAACATAATCAAAATTTCAAGTCTGGCTCTTTTAGGTTCATAGATCGACGCGTTTAAACATACGGACATGGCCTTATCGATTAAGCTATAAATGAGCAGGAATTTATAAATTGTATGGCGTATGGCGTAATGCTTCCTTTAAACTGATACATACTATTGTACAAAACCATTATACCCTATTTGGTGGATTTTAAAAGGGTTCAGGGTATAGAGTATATTTGTTTTGTGCAAATGTATAAATAAATAATAAAACCTCTCACAAATATAAAAACTTTGTATTCTAGTCAAGGATTAAAAGTCAGTAGTGTGTGGTTTCAGACTGATATTAACCCCATAACAATTTAGATTCTTTTTCGATTGATTGAATCGGTGATAACAAAGGCAATAAAAACACTAAGATGAGTAACGCCATACAACAAAATGCTACTATGCAGCTTGATTTTCACAAAATTGAGACCGAAAGCGAAATCGGTACCCTTGCGCTCTCATAGCTTAAAGGGCGAAAACGCAAATAATAGAATGCACTCTCAGCTTCGGCTCTGAGGGCCGAGCGGACAATTACGTTTGCAAGTGTGTGTCCATACGTACACTAAAGCAAGTAAGTGTTGTTACTCCCTGCAGTGGCTTTTGCTGCCTTGGTAGAAAATCAATCTTTAAAGCTGATGCTAATATAATTTCCTTAGCATTAATTATTATTTTTTGGATTGCAGCAACCAAACCACAAAACCTTATTTAAATATAAACCAACCTCAGTTCACAACATATACATATATAAGTAAGTACATAAGAATTGCACTTAATACTTATGTCATAAGAACACACTTTTGTTTATAAAAACACAAGAATGTTGCAGTGCCCTTTGCTTACATTGCGCCATTCTGCTGACGCATGAGTTCAGTGCCCGGCCACTGCGACCAGCAGAGATAACCCGACACTTGCCTATGTCGTAAGCGACTGCGTTGGCGTATGCTGATTCGGCTTGCCGGATATAGCACCTGAGACTTATGCGCCCAGCCTTTGGGTTCAATCCAATTCAATAATTCAATTCAGTTTAGTTTGTATCTGACTTTCAATAAATATACTTGCTTAAGCTTTGCCGTTATAACAATAACTGAGCCACAAGGCCAGCGATAAGAGAGCGAAGTGAAGCTCCCAACATAATCATCGTCAGAAAACTTTTTACAATCTCCTCGATACCCTGGACAGCGGCCAACTGCGCTTTCTTCAACAGCGCGGGATGGCAACTACTTAATTTATATGTTTGTATGTATATGTGACAACAAATTTAGGATAGGTCATGGGCAGCTGTAAAAAACTAACAAAATGAATTTCTTTGGTACCAATAGCCGCTGCATTACCCATGCTGCATAATTCACACATACAAGCATAGGTGCTTGCACGTCATTGGTTGAGACAAGAACTTCTCCAGCATACACTGTGCAAAAATAAAAGGTAAGCTAGTGTACGTGGGCTATTGTATAAAGATAGTTATGGCACAAGGTGCGATATGTGACACAAATTTATTGTTATCAAATTTGCCTGTACAATGTACCAATATTATCTAAGGTAATACAGTTTGTCAAGTAATCAAAGTCATTAACACCTCTGCCCACAGTCCTAACTTAAAGCTTTCTAACAAAAAAAGCTTTCATCGAGGCCATTCAAAGGAATAGATAAAAAAACTGAAATGTATGATCTGCATAACCTTATTCAGTCTATGTTTCGTCGTCTTCGGGCTGTAATGGATGCTAATGTTCAATATAGCAAATATTAGTTATAAATACAATAATATTTTGCATTTCGAAATGAATTAATTGACATCGGTTTATTTTTTTTTTTAGTTTTGTTTGTGTTATGAATTTTTTGAATTTTTGTGCCTCGTATATAATTCATTTAGAGCATGCATATCATGGAAAGCAAAAGTACTAAGCGTTGTTCGTTAGTACAACAATCTTTGTACTTACTTAGAAAACGAAACGACGCAGAGCACCATCAGCGACTGAATTCGTTCCTTCTGTCATCAGAGCGAAAAGCCAGACTAGAAATTTTGCATAGTTTTAAAATGAGTAGGCATTACTCATCTGAGTGTTTATATTGTCTTTGGTAATAACATGTTAACAGGGTATTGAAATTGTTAATTTGTTAATTCCAAAACATAGTCTCCATTATTTTTAAAGTAATTCGGCACAAACGTAAACAAACAATATTTTTTAAATATTATTGTGATTTTAATCAAATTCTAACTGATCAGACTGCCATTGTCGAGGAGAGTTTTTTCTCTCAGATGTCCGAGTTGCAGCAAAGCTACTAATGCGGCACCCTGTTCAGCTTGTTTCTTGTTTTTCTCCCAAAAGCTGCTACTATAGCGCTGTCCGTCATAGCTGCAGATGGCCCGAAAAAGCTTGTCGCAGCGCAGCGTCTCATAACAGGGCGGCTCCTTATCCGTTCTACCCGCGTGCACATAAAGCATCATCTTCGGTAGCTGAGTGTCTACAATGGGAGTAGATAGATGTATAGATTGGTAGAGAAAATAAGATAACAATAAGAATTGCATAAGTTTGGTTAGTTTTTTAGACACGCTTACCACTTGTGTAGGTGGACCGCAGAAAAGCTACATTGCGGTAAATGACACCCTGATACTCGTCTGTAGAACTGTCAGGCAGCCCGAGCTTTTGTCGTTTAGTTGGACACTGTGTTAGTATTACGTTGGCACGGCCAGCATTTCCGCGATCTTTAAGCTCTTGCTGCCGGCGACGACAGTAGTCACCTAAATCCCAAATCTCGCAAATCTGCTGTAGAGTTTGACATTGCAAAAACCGCTTTCCGCGCGGCGTTTCCTGCAACTCTTTCAAGATGCTTTGCACGCAGTACTTAGTATTGTGCGGAGCATTGTCGTAATCAATGCACAAGCGGAGATACTTATAAATCACTTCATCCACTGGCAAAATGCCTTGTTTACGAAATATTGACACATTGAACTGGGCCGCACGAGCGACCATGACACTATCAGCGCCACACAAAGCCTGGAATTTGTGCAAATCATCATACGTGTGCATGTCCCGAGATCCACCGTTGGCTATGATAGGTATGTCTACGGCGCTTGCCACGGCGTGTAGGACGTCCGGATGTGGGCGATGCTGAGGCCGTTCATCTCGAGTACGCGCATGAATACCAATCGCGGCAATGCCCGTTACTGCCAATTGCTGCACGAGTCTTATGGTGTCTAAGAGATCGGGCAGTATGCGAATCTTGCAGGTAACAGGTATTTCTAACTGCGAAGACAGTGTGCGCAGTATATGGGCTGCTTTCGCTGGATCTGCAAGCAATGCTGCTCCCATACCGCCCTTAATGGAAAACTCCTTGGGACAGCCCATATTTATATCTAAGCCAGCAACATCATACTGTACCAGCTTACCTACGGCCAGAGCTCGTGCTGCATCGCTAGTTCCCAACTGTAGCACTACTTTTGACTTTTCTAAAGCACACGTGCGAAAAACAATCGTGCCGTCAGACGGATCTACAAAATCTACTGTACTCAATGCGGCTGAAAGGTTAAATTGTTTCTTAGTTCTGTTTAAGTAAGAAATACCAACTTACGATTTAGGCGGCGGACACTTTTTATTAATTTTAGATCGACAAGTTCTTCGGTGTAAACGATGTCAGCGCCCATTTCTAGGGCTAGCAGTCGCATGGGCAAAGTGCCTACACGCACCATTGGTGCCAGAATTAATTTGTTTCGATAGTCAAGAAACTGATGTTTCTTCATTTTTATGGTTGTCACTTTACTTAAAATCGACAAGCATTTGACGAGAAGCCTGAAACCGGGACAGCTGTTGCAGAGCTGGAAAACCATCGATAGGATTAAATCGATGTTTCTGGTGTTTTGATAACCATCGATGGTGTTTTAGGAACCATCGATATTTTTCCAGCTCTTACACTTTTTAAACAAGAGAAGTAATAGCACTAACTATACAATGCATTGATACAATCACTAACCAAAAAACATATAGATGGGACATGCCGTAGGAAAGTTTTGGTCACCAAAAAAAATATGCATCTGGTCCAACGAGCGAGTAAGATATACATATGACATCTTTTGATCGCTCACAATACAGGAAACTGCTTTAGCTTACTCTCTTCCATATGATTTGTTCGATAGAACGGCATCGCTGTTTATTTTTATCTCGCTCGCACTTACTCTCAGTGCTCTCAATGCTCTCTTTATGCCTAGGTACCGTTTAAATGTTTGTGTGTCATGTGTCCGCACAAGCAAAAATGTCCACAAATTCAATTTTTGTCAAAAGTCGGTGGCATTTCTTCCCTTTTGAGGGGACGAGTAATATGAAATAATGAAAGGGTTTGCCAAGTCGATGCGAAATTCTTTAATTTTAGCTCGTTATTGTTGGAAAGGGTACCTAAGCGTTGGCATGTGTGCATTTAAAATTTTTTTGACTTGCTATTCACGCATACTCCCTGCCTGCCTGTTCGATGCAAATTTGACAATATTTTGTGATTTCTGAATTTCGAGCTCTACACACACACAGACACAAATGGGTGTGAATGGGCAGATCATGGGCGCAAAAGAATATATCATTTTTGGCACGCGTCACCCAGGATATCGCGTACGCAAGCCGCGCAAAGTACAAAAATGATCCAAGACGACGACGAGGTCGTGAATCGTTGCGATAAATCAAGATTAGTACTACTTGTCCAAATATGAAATCAGATGACATGAACCGAGTTAATTTGTTGAAATATACTTTCAAGATCATAACGCCTTCGAATGAGACTATTGATAAATTGTAATATAGTGGAAACAATAACTTGATACGGAACTGCTTGTTTGGGTCGCGGCGGCTGGCTCATCGGTTCTCTGGGTGTAGTCCCATCCCTGGCCAGCAGTCCGCACAATCGATATCAAAAAAGCTACAACGTCTGTAGCAAAACAGACCTACACAAAATGAACCACATAATCGATAAATAACAAACAGCCGGAACTTCTCTCAAATGAACAACACCAACAGCTGGGACGATAAGTAAATGTAAACAACAAATGTACGACGCTTATAAAAATTACCAAAAAAAAAAAACACTGTTAAACCACTTTACTCTTCCAGATACCCGCCCTACCTGAGACGATCACCTGATCTCGTCACCCACATTTTGGCCACAAGATGGCCTGCATCAGCCCGTGACGTCTGTCATGCGTCCTCTCCCCATCAATGGATATATAGCCGGACATTGTTTTCCTTCAATATGTGCGTGTGTGTATAAGTGTTTGCATTCCTTATAATTAATAACAATTTCAATATCTCTTATCTCCTTCTATTTTACAGGATATCAATTCAGCTCTTTATCATGTCATGCAAGCTTTTCTTTTCACTAGGTCCGTATATTTACTTGCATATTCTTATAATTATTAACAATGGTTATTAATTTCTAAAAATTTAATTTTTTTTATAGCCGAACAACATCAAAAGAAGGACGTCACCGAAAGTTATGTCCAATTGTCGCTGGGAACAACGTTGGCGAACAAATGTATATATTTTAATTTGAACGATTGGCTCCCCACATATTCATGCACGTAATGCTCATGGAACGGACTCACGTGAATATCGCCGCCCTTCCCGATTTTGGCTGTCGGCGCCTCGCCCGCTGCAGCTCGCCTTTGGAGTCTCCTCTCTTCCTGCTCTTGGATGGCTTGCGCGCTCCCTCGGCTCGGAAAATGTATCCACTGGCCAGCGCCGTCGAAGTGAGCTTGGACCTGGACTATGTTGGCTTTGGTCCGATATTTATTTATTGGTATGCGCGGCACTCGGTTTGTCGGGTCTAATTTAAAGTATTCTTTTTTAGTCACAGCCTAAGATTTTGTGTGGCCCGACAAAGAAAATTAAATTTTTGCTCTGCTCGATGTATTTTCAATTTGTATATGTATATGTCAGTCAGGACAAACAGTTTTATATATAGAGATATACACATATATACATATATATATATGTATATATATATATATACATATATATACATATATATATATGTATATATATATATATATATACTAGCGGGTATAACCCGGCCTTGCCCGTGGCACGTATGTTATAAAATCAAAAAAGCTTTGAAAATGATTTTGAAACTGATCGGACGGGAATCAAACAACTTTTATGCGAATCGGAAAACTCTTAAAATTCACCAAAAAAATCTTAAAAATGCATTTTCCACCGAAGGAGTTTAGATTTTGCGAGAAATGTGAAACACGTCTCTAATGATTTTTCTTATAGATCTTTGGAAATAAATTTGAACACAAAACGTCATCCACCAAATCTTCGACCCCCATTTGCACCAAGGAGGGATGGATTTTTCAAAAAGTGTGAAACACCCCTCAAATGAATTTGAATATAGATCTTTGAAAATGAGTCTGGGGCCGATCGGATGGTAAAAAAAAACTTTCATACAACCGATTTCCGCCAATTTACCACTGTTGCGGGTGGATTTTTCCAAATCGTCGAAATACGTATTCATTAAGTTATTATTGAGAGCTTTGAAAAAAAAAAGTTTGAAGCAAATCGGACACAACTTAAAACTTCGCACAAAAAATCTTTGGGTCGCATTCCACCCGAAAAAGTTTGGATTTTGCGAAAAGTGTGAAACACGTCTCAAATGATTTATCTTATGGATCTTTAGAAACGAATTTGAGTGCGAAACGTCACCCACCAAATCTTTGACCTCCATTTCCACCAAGGAGGAATGGATTTTCCTAAAAGTGTGAAACACCCCTCAAATGAATTTGAACAAAGATCTTTGAAAATGAGTTTAAGGCTGATCGGATGGTAAACAAAAAAGTTGCATACAAACGTTTTTCGCGATTTTTTCACACTTGCGGGTGTGAAACCCTGTCTTAACGTGCACCTACATTACATAAGGTAACTACAGTGAAAATTTCAGCTTCCTAGCTCTTATGGCTTGGGCTGTGCGTTGATCACCAATCAGTTAGTCAGCACAAACAGTTTTATATATAGAGATTTTTACTACGTTGCGTGGCGTTCCTTCATTATGCAGCATTTAATTTTATAATTTTTCTCGTCACAATTGATTAAAAATAAAATGCCTGTTCTATTTCTTTTGGCATTACACAATGTTAATTTATTTGTTCCTTAAATTTTTCTCAAAGGTGCGTTTGCGCAAAACACGCCTGCCGTTAACTGCTGACCAAGTCGAACTCCCTGCTGTACCTTTGGGCAGCAACATCATCGGTGCCGAATTTCGGGCACCAATGGCATTAGCAAGTGCTCCCGATCCGCTCTCCTCCTAATCTCTCTATGAGCGAATCGGTTGCCCAATCATGGTTCTTCTATCGCGTTACCCCTCTCAGCACAGTGGATCGCAAGCCGGGCGTTGCCACTCTATAATTAATTGGGAGCCGCTGTGTGCCCGATTTTACCCCCCGATATCCTGACCATGCAACAAAAAGATATCGACGGCAGATTATTGTAAACGTGAACACGACCGTTACAAAGAGTCTGCCGGCTAATAAGGATGCCCAACGTAGGCCACACCCACGACAAATACTCTGTACTTGCGCCGCTGACCAAAAAGGACGGACGCTGCCGCCGTAAACGCCTGGCAAGGAGGTGAGCAAATTTTGCTTATGCTCGTAGATCTTTTGCGTGTAAAACGCCCAGCACACGTCCCTGGAGATCTTCTAACTCGTAGGCATTGGTATCTACGGCTCGGACGACGCGGCTCTTCAGGAATTTCCGGTCGAACTTGGCATTGAAGGCTTTGCCAAGCTGCTGAGTGCGAAATTGCTCCTCCACACTTCCTGTCCCTGTTCCAGATGGAGTTGGCGCGCGCGTTGAACGTAGCGTTGGCGACTTCGCTTGTTCGCGGTGTGCAGGTTTCGGATTACAGCCAATCTGTCCTTCGAGTCTAGGTCAGAAATGCTGTGATCCGCCAATGACCTCAGCTTCCGGACCAGCTTGTAACTGGAACCATTCAAGTATATGTGCTAGCCAAACACCGCGAAGAACGGAGTCACTTCGGTAGCGCTGTGCACC